AAAAAAATTTTATTTTTATTTTATTTTAATATTTGAGAATTTTTGAAATGAATAATTTTATAATTTATGTTTTTTATTATTTATATATAATATAAATTATTATTATATATTATAAATTATTATTTATAATTTTATTATTTATGTTTATATTTATATTATGTTTATATGCTTATATTTATATATTTATATTAAGGTAAATCCTATTGGTGAAGATGCAAATAAGATATTTAAAATTGGAATCACAGATTCAATACCTATTATTTCTTTGGAAAGAAATAGTTTTGATGAAAAAAATATTCAAAAAGGATATATCGCATCAGATAAAGATAAAGAAGAGAAAAACATCCTTAACACTTTACCTGTAGCTATGGTAAAAGAAATAGATGAATATGAACAACAATTAGGCGAAGCTGAAGCACTTCCAAATTCATATATTAGATTTATGGAACGTAGTGGTGAAGAACTTGATGGTACATAATTTTTTTATTTATAATTTTTTTAAGTATATTTAGAATTTGTAAATGATTTCAATTTATTTGAATTTCTTTCTTTTTTTAGGAGAAGTAGAATATGATTTAGATGAAGAAGATACTGCATGGTTATCAATAGTAAATGAAAGAAGATTAGCTTCAGGGCTTAATCCACCTTTAGAACCTGATACATTTGAATTATTAATGGATAGATTAGAAAAAGAATCTTATTTTCAACAACAAAGTAATGGTGGTGGAGGAATAGCAGCTGATGAAGATGCAGTTTGCTGTATTTGTATGGATGGAGAGTGTCAGAACAGTAATGCTATACTATTTTGTGATATGTGTAATCTTGCTGTTCATCAGGATTGTTATGGTGTACCATATATTCCTGAGGGACAGTGGTTATGCAGGAGATGTTTGCAAAGTCCATCACGAGCAGTTGATTGTGTTTTATGCCCTAATAGAGGTGGTGCTTTTAAACAAACTGATCGCCCAGCTACATGGGCTCATGTTGTGTGTGCTTTGTGGATACCAGAAGTTAGATTCGCCAATACTGTATTTCTGGAGCCTATTGATAGTATAGAAAGCATACCTGCTGCACGTTGGAGACTTACATGCTGTGTATGTAAACGTAGAGGATCAGGTGCTTGTATTCAATGTCACAAAAGTAATTGTTATGCTGCATTTCATGTAACATGCGCACAACAAGCTGGTTTATGTATGCGTATGAGGACAGTGCAACCTACAAATGGAGAACCAATGTTAGTTCAAAAAACAGCTTATTGTGAAGCTCATACACCATCAGATTATCAACCTTCCACTAATCCTGCTGATGCAAGACGAAGAGCAATTGCAAATAAAAAAAGCTCTTCTGCTCCTGTTATTTCTATTCCAACCATACCACCAGAACGTATTAAGGAAATTGCTAGGTAACAAACAAAAATTCTTTATAATAAATGTTAAAAAATTAAAAACATTATTGATATTTTATAATACTAGCTTAGCTGAAGGGTTGCCTAAACGAAGTCAACTGATACAGCGTCTTATAGCATATTGGACTTTGAAACGACAATACAGAAATGGTGTACCACTTCTCAGAAGACTTCAGAGTTCACATCCACAATCTCGACCACCACCACTTGGAGAAAATTCTTCACCACCACCAGACAGTGAATTACGTGGAGAATTGTATCGTCAATTAAAATATTGGCAATGTTTACGTCAAGATCTTGAGCGGGCTCGATTACTTTGTGAATTAGTACGCAAACGAGAAAAGTTGAAAAAAGAATTATTCAAAGTGTAAGATTTCGAATTAATTTCATGATAAAAAAATATAATATAATTATTAAAAAAATATATAATAAATATTCAAATATTAAATTTATTTTACAGAAAAGAAAAATGTTTATGGTTCGAATTACGTCCACTAGAAAGTATTTTACGTTCATTGTTAGAAGCAATTAAAATGAAAGATATAAATGATGTATTTGGACAACCTGTGAATACTAAAGAAGTTCCAGATTATTTAGAAATTGTATCTCATCCTATGGATTTATCTACTATGCAGGTAATTAATTTTATTTTAAATTATTTAAAAAAAAGTTAGTTAAATTATATATATGATTTTTATTTTTTAGACAAAAATAGAACGACAAGAATATGATACTATTGGAGCTTTTGAAACAGATTTCAATTTGATGGTGAATAATTGTTTAGCTTATAATCGCAAAGACACTATGTTCTATCGAGCTGGAATAAAAATGAAAGAACAAGGTGGTGTTCTTATAGAACAAGCTCGTAAAGATTATCCTGAATTAGATCCTGGTGAAAATGAGCAAACAGTTTCTAAATCCAGAAAAAGAGATCGTAATAATAGAAACCGCGGAGAAATTGAATTACAGTCTGGAGAAAAAGAAATAGGCGGAGGAGGTGTGAATAGAAGAACAGCAGTTCTTTTCACTCGCAAAGCAAGAGCGAGAGCCAGTAGAAGTAATCAAATGTTCAGTTTGGAAGATGACAAAAAAAAACAAAGTGATAGTTTTAAGATTTACAGGCATGTATTATTAATTTTTTTTATTGTAGATAGTCGCATTTCAAATAAGGATTCAATATGTATAATAATGAAAAATTAATTTTTATAGAAGTGGAACAATGGACAGTGATGTGGGAGAAGGTGAAAGTCAATCATCGAGTTGTAGCAGTTGTTCAACAAGTAGGTCCACTACTCCTGATTTAGAAGAAGAAAAACAGAGACAACAAGAAGCAAATGAAGCAAAAAAAGAACTGGAAAGCAAGGAAATAATCGCTAATAATGGTCTAGAAGCCCTTCAGCTTGTATGGGCTAAATGCCGTGGTTATCCCTGGTATCCAGCTCTTATAATAGATCCTAATACTCCTAGAGGCACTGTACATAAAGGTGTACCAATACCAGCACCGCCAGATGATGTATTAGCGCTTGCTGTTAATTATAAAGAACCAGTATTTCTCGTTCTTTTTTTCGATACCAAAAGGACATGGTAAGAACATTTTTTATTTTTTCATAACTTAATTTTTGTAAAATGATAAGATAATTTAATTTTTTTATATAAAATTATAAATAATTATTACAGGCAATGGCTACCAGGAGAAAAATTAGAAAAACTTGGAGTTTCCCAAGAATTGGATGAAGCAAAACTAATTGAATCTCGAAAACCCGCGGATAGAAAAGCTGTTAAAAAAGCGTATCAAGAAGCACTCCATTATCGTAAACAAACTCATAATACATCGTTGAATACCGCATCAACCAGTTAATTAATTCTGGTCTAATTAACGTAAATTCTAATAAAATATTAATTATTAATCGTAATTATAAGGTAGTACTTTTTAAAAATTTGTAAGTATGTAAAAAGTATGTAATATTTTGAAATATGAAAATGTAACTTATAGATTTATCTTTGAGTCACATTTTTTTCATAATTTATATTTTTAAATAATGACTGAAATGAAATAAAAAGAATCATTGTGTATATAAAATTTCTGATATCTAAGTATATTTTTATATTTTTTGTAGTTTTTTGTCGACTTATACATATATAGCAAAAAGAAGAAATTTATAAAAAAAATATATGCATTTCTGCTGTTGGCTTATTGGATCAATTTTTCCTGCGGTTTCACATTTTTCTCCACATATTCATTTAATTCTTTAGCATATAAATCCAGTCTTTGAGTCATCTGGAATTAAAAAAGAAAAAGAAAAATATTGAAAAGAAAATTTAATGATTCATAAAAATATAAATTTGAAATAAAAAAATTAAAAATATCTAATATTTCAACTTACTCTCAGACACCATAAATCTTTCATCTGACGACACAAATTTAAATCCAATTCACAAACAAGAAGACCATCTTTACATCGACTTAAACCAGGAGTTCTAGCTCCATCAGGAGCAGTGATATAACTAGATCCATAAAAGTGTCCGAAATCATGATGAGCAGGAGCTCCATCACCAGATGTAAATTCATTAGGGAATATTTCAGTTCCAACGCGATTAATAGCACAGGTATAGTAGCTATTTGCTATTGCTGCACATCTTGCTTCAATGGACCATAGTGGCTCAGATGTATGGCTAGTAGTCGCTGATGGATTAAAAACAATCTAAACATAGAAAATTTATATTTTTTTATGTACAAAAACTTTAATTAACTTGTAAAAGTTTAATGAATTTTACCTCAGCACCATTCAATCCATACATCATCCAATTTTGGGGATGATGTCGACCATAACAAATATTAATTGCTATACGTCCAAAACATGTATCGAAAACAGAATGACCTGTATTTCCTTCCATATAATAAGTAGATTCGTTAAAGTCTCCTACACGAGGAATATGATTTTTCCTACTCTTTCCAAGCACATTTCCATCATTACTAATCACAACAGAAGTATTCCATAGAGTTTCACTATTCATATTATCTCTCTCAAGAATTGGACATACAATAACCATTCCATGTCGTTGAGCAAGCTCACACATGAGTATTATAGTTGGTCCATTTTCAGCATCTTCAGCTAATTCGCACCAGGGATATTTCTCTCTGGTACAAAAAACAAATGGCATAGCTACGGCATAGATGAATATTTTTTTATTATAAATAATTAAAATAAATAAAAGAATAAAAAAAAATTTTTTAAATTTAAACTTAATTGTTTTTAAATTGTTAATTTTATAAAAATTTAGATAAATTATAAGAAAAATGAAAATTATTAAAAGAAGATTACAATATATGCAAAATTATCACCAAATCAAATAGATATTAATAAAACATGATAAATATTTATTCAGAATATAAAATTAAACTTTTAATTTCATTTGTATTTAATATAAATTTATAAGTATATTTTTTTATTATTATAATTTTTTTTAATCATCCTAAAATCATTCTAAAATCATCCTAAATTCTGAAACATACCCCAAGCTTCTTGAAGACAGAGTATATTAACACCACAAGTTGCGGCGTAATCGACATATTTTTGAATTTTTTGATGCAAAGCATTCCTTTGTTTCTGCAAAGGTTCTGTAGTTGGTAAAACTATAGAATGTTGAATTAAGCCAACACGAACAAGACGCGGAGGACGTAATTGTTCTGTGACGCTACCACCCATAATATATCCTTGAACATCGAGATCTTGACTTCCATTCCATTGCGGAAGATTTAAGGATCTATAATAAAAACATTTTATAATAGTTAAAATAGTTTTATGTATGTATGTATGTATATAATTGTAATAATAATATTAATTATAAATTATATAAATATTGATATAATTAATATAATAATTAATAATTTAATACAACTATAATTAAAAAAAATGAATCGCATATATAATTTTTCTTATATAAAAATTATTATATATTAATATAATAATTTTCAAGTTCAAAAACGTTTTAAACATTTTTGTTTTTATTTTTTAAAATTAATAATGAAATTTAATGTTTTTTGTAAAAAATTATTTAACACTTAATATATAATTGTAAAAACATATTTGTTTTATTCGATATAAATATTTGGTTTTTTTAACCAAAATTTTCAATTAAATTAAATTAGTGACTAAAATCAGTATTTTTTGGTGCATGATATATTCAACGTATATACATTCTTACATTCGTACATGTAAAGTTTAAAAATATTTCGCGCCAAATAATTTCACAATATATTAAACAAGTATGATACATTGAAATATTTAAATTAAAATTAAATTCAGAAAGAATATAAAGAATTGATTATTTATATTTTTCAATTCTAGATATAATTATTAAAAGTAAATTTAAATAAATAAACAATAAATCTTACTGTAATTCGCGGCCATATAAAAGGCGTTTTACTTCAACTAGCTCCTTTTCTGGAAGATTTTTTTCCAAAATATCTTCAAGTGTTTGATCAAACATTACGTTATTCATTTTATTATGAAAAATTTTTAAGTTTCGACACTATTTAAGGTTATATACTATACAATTCTAATTCTGATGACGTTCCGTCACAGATTTCGAAGAATTGTGAGACAACACGGATTTTGTGTAATATATATCAATGATATGTATAAACATATATCAGTACAACAAGAGTTAATCTTTATCAATAAATTCTTTTTAATCAGCATAATTAATTATCATGGAATGACTGCCATAAATTCTTTTAAAACATATCTGACATACCTGTTTATAAGAAAGAGATGAAAAATTTGAATATACAGTGTAATCAACAGTTAATTAATCATTTTCATTATATATAGATACGTGTTTATTTTTTACTTTATGATATCTACTTTAAAATGAAAAGAAAATGAAAATTTGATATTTGTAATGTCTCGTTTTTTTAATATTTCTAGAAATATTTTTTTTCATTTCACATAATAAAATCAATATTTGTACAGATAAAAATGAATAAAAAATATAATGAATAAAAATATAATATAATGCAAAAAATATAATGCAAAAAATATATTAGATCTCATAATTTCTTAATTTAAAGGTTCTATTAAATTATTAAATAAATATTACTATCATAAAAGATTTTTTTGAAAAAAATATATTTTATTAATGATGTTTTATATATCTCTAAAAAAATATAATTTTAAAATAAGATTTTAAAAATATTTAAAATATATTTAAAATATATAATAATTGCTTTATTAATAATTATCATGAAAAATATAATTATAAAATAAAATAATTTAAAAAACTTGAAATATGTATTAAATATATTTTGTTTGCTTGTTGTGAAAAAAATATAATTTTAAAATAAAGTATTTATTTTATTTTATATTTTATATTTATAAAATATATAATATTTAATTAATTAAATTTATATTTAAAATATATGATAACTATTTTGTTACTTGAAAAATTTTATAACTCTCATTTTGAACGATTCTCATATCTAAAATAAAATAAGAAAAAAAAAACACTTAAGTAAGTCGTAAAAATTTTCCATTAAAGTTAACGAAATATTTTTTTAAATAATCTTATATATTAAATGTTATTATTGAGGGATAATATTTACATGACAAAAAATCTTATTGATAGAGTGCAATCAGGTTATCTGAATATTTGAATCGTATTTATTACAACTAAATTCACAACTTTCATGAAAAAATAAATTTTATATTGAAATATTATATATAATAAATATATTATTTCTTTTTTAATTTAAAAATATTTTGTTATTAATATTTTCCTAATATTATTATTAAATATACATTAATTAAAATTATATTTAATTTTTATTTCTTTTCATATATTAAATTTCAATTTCTAATACAAATTATTAGTAAGTGTATTAATACAAAAATATAATTTAAATATAGAAAATGTATATAAAAATATAATTAAGTAAATAAAAT